AAGGAGAAGGATTGGGATGGGGGGGAGGGGGGAGGCTGGGAAGGGATGGGAAGGGTAAACAAAGGAGGAGGCTGCAATGCTTGGTAAGAAATGTACACATTATCCTGCCCATGCAATTGTAACCCCTCTGTACAGTATGTTCACAAATAAAATAAAATTAAATTAAAAAAAAGAAACCTTTGAATTAAAAGAGTAGCATAATAAGGAAAGTGAATAAGTGTGACTATGGGCAAAGTACTTTTATGCACTTATGGAAATAGAACAATGAAAACTGATGGAATTGTTTTAAGAAAGGGACGAGACCAAGGAAGAATGATTAGGGAGGAAATGATAGAAATTGATGGGTACATTTATGCACAGATGGAAATATCACAATGAAAGCCTCTTTGTACAACTAATGTAGCCTAATAAAAATAAAAAAGGAACACAAATAGAAAAGTTTACAGTGTGGTAAAAGTGCTTATATTAAACCAGATCTCAAATTAACAATCTGAAAATGGAGATTTAAATCTCCTAGATTTTGAGATAGAATGTGAAGGTTAGGGTGGAATCAATAGGCTATATTTTTAAGCTGAAAAATGTGGAAAGAAATTTGAAGGAGCAAATGAAACATAGAAACTCATTCTATCAAAATAAGATAAAAATTAATTAATGAAGTCTTAGCTTTTATCAATATTCAGATGACTGTGCTTTCGATGTTGCTTCATTGCTGAGCATATGGGGCCAAAGGGAATTTTTGTAATCTGGAATTGGTCCTGGAGTGGGAGGAAGTGTTGTAGCTAACTCTTATATTGGCAGAATTGGACAATGGCTATAAGAATAATCTCTTGATTTATGAGATGTATTTAGAAATGGCCTTTATCACCATATATTTATGTACCTATGTGTATACTAGAACAAATCTCCTGGGAACAAATGTCATGGGAACAAATCTTATTTGGTGAAAATTCATTAGGTTTGAAAAGATTTTTCTGAGATGATAGGGGCTATAAGTAAATTAATCAGACAAGCTTTTTGAAGGTAAAAACATGCTCTTCAGAATCAGCACATTAATTAATTCATCCAGCTAGTAAACACTGAGATTCTTAAATACTGGTAGCCAAATGAAACAGCTTTGATGAATCTCAACTTAAGGGAGAAAGAGTGTGGGCTGGTTTTGGTTATGCCATGATAATGTATGATCTAATGCTAACTGCTTTGTTTGTTTATCCTGCACTCCATGAAAACTCCACTAATAGAATTATAAGTCTACTTTATTTTAGATGAAGCAGCAATATTGAATGTGTTTTAAAAAAGTACTCATCAAGAAAAATTTAAAGACAGAAAACAAAAGATTAAAGATATTTCAGATGACAGAAATGGCTTTGATTGGTACTTCTTTGTTGATGACAACATCAGCTATATTTCTTTGAGACTTTTACCTTACATGCAAAAAAAAACATGGGAGGAAGTAATAGCATTAATTTTGATGAGTTGTTCTTGTTAATATTAACTGAGATGATCTTTGGGAGGAAGCATTGTTGGAGCCTGAGACATAACAAAAACATGTGCTCAGTCTCTGAAACATGACCCTAGGATGACAATAAGGCTTTCAATATTTGCCCTTTACAATTTACCTCGGGAAATAAACACCAGGAAGTAGAGACTGGGTGTAGTGTAGTAAATGCTTGCAATTTCAACTTTTTGGGAGGCAGAGACAGGAAGATAATATTTTGAGGCCATCTTGAACAAAACACCAGAGAAACTCTGTCTTAAGTAAGCGGTGTGTGATGGTACACATCTATAATTATAGCTACTGAGGGATATAGGTTAAGAAGTCTGAGTCTGAGACCAGACCAAGTAAACTTAGAGTTCATCTGAAAAACACTATAAGCAAAAAGGACTTGGGCACAAGTGTAGGACACAAAATCCCTGAGCTAAAACCCAGTATGACTAAAACAAAACCAAAGAAGGAAACAAAAAAACAAGAAAATTAAATGATATTTTTAGTAATAGGATTGATACTTGGATAACATGGAATAGTCTCATTTTTGATTTGTAATAGTCACACATTAATTTCCTAAACTCCTACTAAATAAAGCAACTTAACTGACTTATACTTTGTACTTTCCCATGATTAAAAGCTTAACAAAGTATGTCTTTCCCTCCATATGAAACTCTTTACTACAAGTAAATAATAAAATGCATATACATCTATCATTGTCAATATTTAAAGAGCAGAATTTTAAAAGTGAATGACAATGAGATTGACCAATCTAGAGATATTCTGTAACATTCTTATCTCACTGCTCTATTTAGTATGAAGTATAGTAAAAATCGTCTGGAACCATAATCACTAGAGAAAGGTCCATATAAGTTAATAAAACTCAAAAGTTTGAAGTCAGTGACTAACAATTTAGTACAGTACCTCTTTTCTGTTAGAATTTGTGATACGATTTGGAGAGAAAATGGGAAGTAAAATAAGCTAGCAACTGTTTTGAATAGACACAGTTACTGCTACCAGTACCTATATTACGTATTGGCCATCTATGTATACTAGTACTTAGTTATACATTCCTTCAATAATAGTAATAATAATAATTTATTAAATTCTAGCAATTATGTGAGACCTGGGAATTTAAAGATGAATAACTCGAGGTTCTTCTTTGAATGAACTCATTGTCCAGAGGGAAGAAAACTGAGATATTATTGCTCAAGTGAGAAGCAATATAGGTCAAGGAAAACAAAAAACATGAAAATTACTATAAAGATTATTAATTTATTGACATTAAACAACAAAATTATAAGATGTCTAATGCTGTAATCACAAGCCACTTTCTAAAACTGCAAACTTTAGTTAATTCCTGTTTAAACTAAGGTGAATACAAAATGATTGGTATCTTAATTTCTTAAGTTACTTTCATGTCTGATTTAGGATTAAAAATAAAAGCAACAACATTAGAAAATAAAGGGCAAAAACAAATCGTTTAACTAGGGATACAGGTGAACCCATTGCAACAATGAGATGTACAAGTCATTATGTCGAAAAACAAACTTCACAACTTTGGCGTGGGAGGGGAGGATCAGGTGGGAGGAGGTGGGGGGCTTATGGGAAGGGAGGGGAGGGGAAACAAAGAGGAGGCAACAATGCTTGATAAGAAATGTACTCATTATCTTGCCCATGTACTTGTAACTCCTCTGTACGGTATTCTCACAATAAAAATAAATAAATAAAATAAAATATAAGGAACTTTAGAACAAAAGAATTTTCCATCTGTATGTCTCCCAGCTAATAAATTGTATTTGTTGCCCAAATTGCTATTAAAAATTGTATTTTGCATCATGTCAAACTGAAAAAAAAATCTTCAAATTAACAATTGTCTCATTAATGATGTTTTCAGTCAGTTTTTAAATTCAGGATTCAAATAAAAAATGAAAAAAATGTGGAAAGTCTGTAAAGGACCAGATATTTTATTCAAAATAATAGCTTTTGCTACCACTATGTTCTGCAATGCCATTACAGAGCAAGAGCTGACTCATAAAAAAAGGACATAAAAATCAGAAAAAGGAATTGCATTTTGAAAGGTCCATCAGTGGGTAGTAATAAAAATAGGCGCTCGGGTCCTCTTCATATTCCTGCCACTACTCTGCAAGCTTCTTGGGACTAAACCTGAAAGGCAATCTTTTGTGCTGTTAATCTTGCTTCTAAAATAGCTTACCTGGTTATTAATGTGTAATGTTGGTGACTTTCATAAGTAATCTAAGAAGCAAGCAATTACTCAAAAGCCTTCATTCTAAAACCAAGAGTCACAATGCATAGATTCTGAACAACCCTGGGACAGTTCCTTTGGTGAAACATTGTTCCAGAAGGAACCTCATTCTAAAAGGTCAGCTTCCTTATCAAAATTGGGATAATATGGGGAGAATGATGGAAGGGGTGAAACTGATCAAGATGCAGAATATACATCAAAGGACATGTTAAACTATACAAGTATTAGAAGATAATAAAAATTGGGATGCTAATAACTGTTGTGTATCAATCACAAGGTTGTTCTCATGGCATGCCACATGTCAAATGGAAGAATCCTTTATTCACTTATTCAATAAGTATTTGTCAACAACATCCATGTGTGTAACACTAATTGAGGCACTGGAAACACTAGAGTGAACAGGACATGATCCCAGACTTGGAGAAAGTTACAATTCTTCTGGGAATGTGGATAAGTTAAGAAGTAAATCTCCATCCAGTGTGAGGCGTGCTAGGAAGGGAAGAGGAAGAAGGCTCCTCTCTCCCACCTGGGCAACAGGTCAAATTTTTGGAAAAAGCCATGTGTGTGGGGAGAACTGAAGGATAAGTAGAAGCAGGTAGTGGTAGCCCAGGAGAGTGTCCTAATTTCAGCGAACAGAAAGCACTTCATGCTTTAGAGAAACTTAGAACAGTCAAACCACAGGAAGGTCAGGGAGGCCAAATGATACATTGGAGGGCCACTTAAAAGATCAGAACCATCAAGACCATGGTAACCTAGTAAGCCACTTTAAACAGGGTAAACTTTGTCTATCAGGCAATAAGGAGCCATAGGAAAGGATAAGTCATCAGATATGGGGTTGAGGAAGGTCATTAGAACTGCAAAGAAGAAGGCACTGGACTGTTGGGAGCCAATGTATGCTTACACTTTTTTGTACCAGTTTAGAGTACGACACACCTCAAAATGTTCCCATTTGCCTAAATTATATGATTGATCATACAGGAGTTAAGCCTAAGCTTTGTGCCTTTTCACCCAAATCCCCTTTTCTTTTTCGCTAGGCTATTGCTTGGTGACTATTTGAGCTACATTTGGGACTCTTCAAATTAAACCTCACTCCTATTCAAAGCAGCCGACATTAACATGAAGACAACATCATCACCTTTGTTTATAACCAGCAAATATTAAAGAAAGAGGATCAGTTAAAAAAGATACATCTAAATACTGACTGAACAATAAAACTCTAGATGTATAAATATTTGTATTATATTGGTATTTAGAGTCTTAACTGTGTCTTCTAAGATTTGGGATTATTTTATGATCTTCCATTCCCACAAATTTTATTGTGGTTTGGCAATATTTCCAGACTTTACAAAGCCTGATGTCTTCCAAGTTCTTTCCCACCACACTGTGTTCCTATACTTTACTCTGTGAAGTCACATCAAAGACCTTAAGATGTATCACTTGCAGTTTAGTTAATGTTTTCTCTAAAGTCCCTGTGCTTGTTAGGTAATAAGGAAACTTTGATAAAGAAAACGGTTAATCTAAGTGCATTTTACTGGGGGCATGCTAAGGTTGGGCACTCAAGGAGGAAGTGTTTAGCACTCACAGGCATTTCAAAGCTCCTGGCAAGGTGTACTTCAGAGAGAGGGAGAAAAGGAAAGAACATGTTATAAATAGAAACTGGGATACAAAGATCAAAAGTGTAAGGTAATAGTGGAATGATACTTAAAAAAAAAAACTATAAAGCCCCAAATCATGTGTATATGGTTTAGGCGAGACTTTGGGCTTTAGATGTTTAAATTAATGCTGAGATGAGTCAAGACTTTGGGAGTTTTTTTCGTTTTTTTTTGGGGGGGGGTCTGGTCGTGGGGCCTGAACTCTGGGCCTGGGCGCTGTCCCTCAGCTCTTCAGCTCAAGGCTAGCACTCTACCACTTGAGCCACAGCGCCACTTTCGGCTTTTTTCTTTTAGCTTATGTGGTGCTGAGGAATCGACCCAGGGCCTCAGGCATGCAAGGCAAGTGCTCTACCACTGAGCCACCTTCCCAGTCCCAAGACTTTTGGAGTTTTTGAAATGGAATAAATGTACTTTTGCATGTGAAGAGGATGAACTTGAGGCATCAGGGCTGTGCTGCTAGTTCTAAGTAATGTCAACTCATATGTTGACATCTTAACTGCCAAGGCAGTGGTATGAGGAGGTGAGAGCTTTGGGAGGTGCCTAGGTCATGAGGATGGAGCCCTCATGCACGAGATTAGAGCCATAATGAAAGCGACCCCCAAAACTCATCCACCTGGTCCATTATGTAAATATGCGGAGAGAAGGCATCATAACTGAACCGAAGCAGGTGCTTACCACACACCAAATGGTGTCTATTGGTACCTAGATCTTAAGACTTACCATTTTCCAGAGTTATGCAAAATAAATTGCTTTTGTTTATAAGCTACTCTGGTTATGGTATTTTTTTATGTAGGGTGAATGGGCTAAGACAGGGCTTAGGTCCACTGAGAAGGTCAATGAGTCTAATTCAAAATTAGACTGGGATTGTTTCATGTAGATTAGTTCACTCTGCCTAAAAGTTGCATGTGCACACACACACACACACACACACACACACACACACACACAGCTGTGCAAGATTATCATAGCTGTGATGACCATGTCAGAATGTAAGAGCCACCTCCCTCAAAATTATTTCAGTTTGGTATCCTTACCTCATCTGCAACTTTCCATATTTCTTGGTCAGTCCACTGTTCATATGGATCCAAGTTTTTTCTAAATGTTCCAGAAAAGATGAATACTTTCTATAACAATAAAGAAAACAGAAAGCATGAACAAATGAAATATCTTTTCCTTACCTCATTTTTTAAAGAAAGGAAGTGTTATAGCAATAGTTGAATCACTTGTTTTCTTCCTAATCCCAATGTTCTTAGCTCAAAGAAATTGAGATCATTGTAAACTTCTCATTTTAGCACTATTCCTCACTTATAAAGAAATACAAAATTTAAAAGTTTAATAAATAGAAAGCTTATAGTCGACTTGTCAGACTAAATTCCTATTTTGTTAATGTATTTTCCTTGGATTTCTTTGATGAATCTAGCTTCCGGAGGGCTTTTGACATTGCTTTTGGTTACACATGAACACATATAGGAATTCACATGGCCTATACATCTAGGCACAGTTCTACATAAACCATCAAATAAGGATAAAAGAGAGTAACAACTTAGATGTTGATGAAAGGAAGGAACTGAAAAGTTGTTTGATTGAATGTATTTTACAAAAGGCAGGCAGATAAGACTTGGACTGAGTGAAGTGGAAACTAAGTCTAATTCCTAATGAAGAGCATTGCACGACATTGCTCTGAGACTCTGAACTTGTCATATCATGGCCTTCTCAAGTCTACTGAAATGCTTAAAAATGTCCCAGAGGGAAAGAGTTGTCTCATTGGGAAATTTTACATAATTGATAATATAAAAATTATTATATTAATAATAAGCCTTTCTTTGTGTATATGTGTGAACTAAAAATATTTTGGTGTTAATATATAGAATTTTTTTCCTCTGTCTTTGGTTGATAACACTAAGAAGAGTTAAGAACTAAATCTCTTGAAGTCTTACTTTTCACAAATTATCTTAGACTAAACCTGTAGCTTGCTCAGCACCCAACTGGTCTGTAAGAAACCACACAAGGCAAGTTGGCTCCTGATGATGATGCCTGTAATACTCAGGCAGAAAAATCTTCCTTCTTCTCCTTTTCTCTTCCGTTTTCCTCTCCAGAATTCTTTTTTTTTCTTTTGCCACTCTACCACTTGAACCACAGCACCACTTCCAGCTTTTTCTGTTTATGTGTTACTGAGGACTCAAACCCAGGGCTTCATGAATGCTAGGCAAGCACTCTACCACTGAGCCACCTTCTCAGTCTTCCCTCTCCAGAATTCTTATACTGATATTTCTCAACCTGTCTGACAAAGGGAAGGGCATCTACTTCATAAGATTGCTCAGGAGAATGCATAAGTCCTGAGATCATGAGCTGTATGATGACTATGTTTGTATACCAACTTCCACCTCTCCATGTAAATAAAAGCAATATCCAAATAAGTTAAAGAGAGTAGGCAAAGGACACATTATTTAGGAGTTGTGGAACTAGAGAAGTAAACAAGAAAGAGGCCTGACCACTTCAGTCTGTTGATTAAACAATGGGCTAAATGCTAAGCTTTAATTGCTTGTTAATAGAATTTTGTCATTTACTACCTTTTTATGTCTTTTTACATTCTATTATAGTTCTTTTTTTTTTTTTTTGATGGTTGTGGGGATTTAACTCTGGGTCTGGGCCCTGTCCCTGAGATCTTCAGTTTAAGGCTAGTCCTCTATCAGTTTAGCCACAGTGCCACTTCCAGTTTTCTGGTGGTTAATTGGAGATAAGAGTCTTATGGACTTTCCTGCCCTGGCTGGCTTTGAACCACAATCCTCAGATCTCAACCTCCTGAGCAGGTAGGATTACAGGTGTGAACTACTGGCGCCTGGATCTTTTTTTCTTTTATTGTTATTGTATGGGTAAAATACAGAGGGGTTATAGTTACATGAGTCAGGTAATGAGCACAATTCTTTTTGAACCATGTCTCCCCTTCCCTCATGCTCTCTACAAGTTTTTCCCTCCCATTTCTACCCACAAAACATACAATTCATTTTCCATACAGTGTCTAGTAAGTACCATGGTTGTATTTGTCCACTTTTTCTTCCACTTTACCCTCCCAAAGACAAAGAAACAAGGAAAAGAAAAAAAAGCAATAAAAAAATCTGTTTCCTCTTCTTGAAGTTCTTTTCATAAATAGTTCTTCATTTCAGAATTTCCTGAAATTATTGAAGAGGACAAGAAATAATGTTTGTGAGCTAAAACAATGTCTCACACAATGTATTAATTAAATTAATTAAATGCTACAGAATTAAATTAATTAATTAAATTAATTAAATGCTACAGAAAAGTGACCCCTACCAAGAGGATGGGACACAGAAATACCCTTTTTGAGAGGCTTACCATGGGCCATGCCCTGGGACCGGTTCATCATGTATCATATCTTTCCATCTTCATAGCAACTCAATGAGCTAGATCCTACTGTTGCACTAGAAAAAGGAAGTTGGATGGCTTGTCCAAGGCCACTTAGCAAGTACATGTAGGAGTTGGAATTCTAACCTTGGCATGGTTGTCTCCACAACTGTGTTCTTTATCACCATAGCAAAAGGCCTTAAGTCTCTGGGTGTGTCAGATCCCTATGTTCATTGATTTAGAGCCAGCAAAGATTAAAGGTTGAGCAGAAGCAGGCCTATGGATGCATAAACAGCTACTCTGAGCTCAGGAGCATGTTCTTTATTTAAACACTGTTATTCATTCCTGCATTTCTTTTTTGCAATACTGCAATATTGATTATTTTTTTAATCATTGCTAAAGAAATGGTTTTCCCAGAAAAAAAAAAAACAATGGTTATCAGAAGCCTATTTTGTTTAGCATGAGTTACTGTTACTATGTTTGTTCACTGTAAAAGGAGAAATTTAGGATTCAGTGCAGTTTACAACAAAAAAAATTAAAATTTCTATTAAAAATGAAATCATTTGCCTAAAATTTGTATATAAGTAGTCCATGATCTATATGTTATTTACCAAACTTATGATGATATCCAACATATGATGGTCACATATTTTAATTAATTTGATTAAAATAGATATGTTAGCTGAAATTTAAAGGAAGAAAATTGCTTATTAGAATTAGACATATGAAAGTTTTAGGTGTGGTGCATTGTTTTCCTTTCAGAAATTCCATATGTCTTTTATTTATAGTCTATTGTCTGACAAAAAGTAGAACTATGTGCTCTTTCAATTTAAAAAAAAGTTAACTGAACGAACTGGTTCAGTTAGAATTCAATTTCATACAATCAATCAGACATTCCATTCTTGTATTACAAAGAGGATCTGGCACTCTCTAGCTTCCCGGGGGTGGGAACCATAAGCATCTCAGTTCTGTTTTATAAGCTGATGGAACTTCCAAAAAAAAAATCATCTGAACAGCTAAATGGTCCTTGGAGGGCCATGTAAGTCCCCTATCCCCTGGTTTACAAATGTGACAGCCAAGGCCCTGAGAAGTTACACATTTTGGCTAATATGGCACAGTCAGATCTATCCTGAACTAAAATGTATACTTGCACCTCTCAACCACTATGACCCCCTATTACTCTTTTTAAGAAACCTTTCACCAATAAGAAAGTAAGGTTGTGCAAATATTTGGTATTTATTTAATGTCATGTATGGTATAAAGAGTGATTATTAGGACTCAGCCAGAATAAAGAGATCACCATTGTTCACCACATGACTAATCTCTTCCCCGAAGCTGACTCTTCATCTCCTCAGCTCAATGGAAACAGCTGAGCCTACATGGAGTTCTCAGAGCTGGTCACGAATCACTGCATCTGGTACTATGCTTCAGCACTGGATGTCAAAGGAAAACAAAAGAGCAATGTGCCTTCTGTGGTGATTGAATTTAGTAAGAGTTACATAAGTGGGAAGAATGAATCTCTGTCTTTAAATATATGATGTTTAATTTTGGTTCACAAGGAAATACATATGCATATATGCATTTGTATCATGTATAGTTCTGTTAAAATGTAGTATAGAGGCCAAATGTGGTGGGTAATGCCTGCAATTCCAGCATTCAGAGGCTAAAACAAGAGGATAGAAAGCTTGAGATCAGCCAAGACTACCTAGTGAGTTTGAGACCATCCTGGGGGACATAATGAGATCTTGCCTCAACAAACAAAAATAAGATGGGTGAAGGTGGCTCACACCTGTAATCTTAGCTACTCAGAAGGTTGAGATCTGAGGATTGTGGTTCAAAGGCAGCTCAAGCAGGAAACTCCATGAGACTCTTATCTCCAATAAACCATCTGAAAACCAGAAGTGGTGCTGTGGCTCAAGTGGTAGAGCGCTCACCTTGAGCTGAAGAGCTGAGGGACAGCGCCCAGGCTCAGAGTTCAAGCCCACCAACTGACAAAAAATAAAAAAGAAACCAAACAAAGCTTGCTGAGATGCTTTTTAAGTATTAGAAAGATTATGATCTCCTGTTTTGTAGCAAAATGTCAGCAACTTTTCTGATAAATTGAATTTGTACAATAAAAATAATTCCAAAACAAAACAGAACAGTTAAATAATAGGAAAGTGAGAGTAAGTGAGGAGGAAAGGTGCCAATATGATTAAAATACTGTGCATTCATGAGTGAAATACCACAAGAAAATGCCCTTGAACAATTAACGTACATTTAAAAAGTGAATGAGACAGGTACTGGGGCACTGGTGGCTTATACGTATAATTCTAGCTATTCAGGAAACGAAGATCTGAGGATCATGGTTCAAAGCTAGTCCAGGGAAGAAAGTTGTTGAGACACCTATCTTCAAATTAATTACCAAAAAATCTGGAAGTATATCTGTGACTAAAATGGTAGAGCACTAGCCTTGAGCTGAAAAACCTCAGAGATAGTTTGCAGGCCCTGAGTTTAAGCCCCAGGGCTCTCTGTCTCTGTTTCTGTCTGTCTGTCTGTCTCTCTCTCTCTCACACACACACACACTCACACACACATACATACACATACACAAAGTATATGGCAGGTATATAAAACAAGTACTTTCTGGCTGAGGTTACTAGTGGGTAAGGGGAGAGTGAACAGAGAGGTTGGGGTGGGGAGTGAATATAGTCAAATATTTTATACGAATCTGTGTAAGTGGAACAGTGAAACTCATTGAGATTGGATGGAGAAGCTGGGA